GGATGAGAACATGTTTTCCACTTAGGACCAGATGAAAAATTGTGTCTCCCCTGGTGAACTCCAGGACTAGCTGCTCCAAGAAGCAGTCGTTTAACGGGTCGAGAAACCACCTCCGCATTCCATCCTGAGGTGACGGGGAATCAGGAAGTGTGGGGAATGTTGAAACCCCCCATTATTGAGGTTTTACATTTTTTTACCCCTAGGATTCCTGATCGGCTCAGACCGGAGAATCTGTTCCGTCCCATTCCAGTGCTTAAATGTTGTGTTTTCTGCACCACTGAAATGCACTTGATGAGCCAGAGGGGCAGGCAGAGAGTCTGGACAGCATGACTCAGCCTGGCACATCCCATTCCAATTCCCTGGGAGACGCTGGGAGGGAACGGACCGAGAGGGACAGAAGCAACCCAACACCAACGCTCATCCGGCCTCTGTCCTTGTTCCAGGTAAGTTTGAAGGGGGGAGCATGAACCCTCTTTCCCAAATGCATCCCCCCCCACTTCCCAGCTGCCCTCTATTCACAGGAACAGTCTGTTAGTGCTGCTTCTCCAATGTCTGTTCCTAGGATGGGACCCCAGTGATTTTGTTGAGTCACCAGGTCTCTGGGCGGGAGGGGAAGTGGGGTCCCTGAGTTCTCCCCTCCCAGGAATGGGGAACTCCCACACTCCAACTAGCTGGCAAACATCACACTCACCTTCAGAGAATGGTGTACACTCAATCTCCCCCTTCCAGCCATTCCTTTGCCTCCCACCCAACAGTCGCTGGCAGAGCGGGGGCCAGTTCCCTCTTGTCCTGGTGGAGATACCATGGTCCAGACTCCTGGGCTGTGTCTACATTGGCACCCTTATCTGGAAAAGGGTGCCAATGTAGACACAGCCTTGGGGTCTCTCTGCCATGCTGCCATTCAATCTTCTCATAACCTTGCGCAACTCATCTCTCCCTGTGCCTCAGTTTGCCAGTCTGCACAATGGCGAGAGGTGCACCGTGACTTTCCTTGAACAGGTGTTTTGAAGTCCTTCAATGAAAGGTGATGCACAGGATGATGGTGGTTGCTGGTGAGAATCACTGACCTCTGGTCCCTTCGCAGGAGCCTCGTGTTCCTGCCCGAAAACGTTCCCTCAGGCATCTTTCTCCACATCGGTCTGTCTACAATCCACCCATTCCTCCTGGGCATTTGCAGGGAGATCTCAGCATTATCCCTAGTTGATTTTTTTCCCATAATCCACTTTAATTTTCAAATATACGCAAACACACAGAGCAGCCAATTCCTCCCTGACTCCTCCCAGAGCCCAGGAGTTCTCTTCTCCCTTGGGAAGGGCCTTTAATTGCTGTTTACTCCTAAGGCTGGATAAATAGCCCACTAGTGGAGACAGGCTGGTCTTCCAATTGTTTGCATCCAGTGGCTGCTTCTCCTGCAGAGGTTGAGAGAGGTGCGGGACGCGGCTGCCGGAGGGAAAATCCAGGGAAGACACGTCCCTCTCAGCACTCACAGGTACCGTCTCTCTGAGGAGCTCCCCTTCTCCACAAACCCAGAGCAACGCGGGGAAGGTGAGACAGAGAGTCACTCTGGGGTCCTTTTTGCTTTGCACAGATATTAAACATCCCAGGACTCGTGCCACATGGGATGAGTTTGCTCTGGGCAAAATATGATCTTTTTCTGGAGCTGGAAGAGACCTCAGGAGGTCATCTACTCCAATTCCCTGCCCAAAGCAGGACCGACCCCAGCTAAATCTTCCCAGCCAGGGCTTTCCAAAGCCAGGACTCTTCATGGTTTGTGAGACAAAGGAAAAAGAAATCCCTAACTTACTTTATCTGTAGTCCATAAAGTTAATATACGTACCCATATATGGTAGCTTGCTATCATGCATGGAGGCCTTTCTGCATTGGTTTGAACGTTTATAGTGTTATCTTCGGGGAGTTTGGTTCCGACTGGATCGCAATGGCTACGTCTACACTGGCATGATTTTCCGGAAATGCTTTTAATGGAAAAGTTTTCCGTTAAAAGCATTTTCGGAAAAGCGCGTCTAGATTGGCAGGATGCTTTTCCGCAAAAGAGCTTTTTGCGGAAAAGCGTCCGTGGCCAATCTAGACGCGGGTTTCCGCAAAAAAACCCCAATCGCCATTTTCGTGATCCACAGTACTGTGCTGTCTACACTGGCCCTTTTGCGCAAAAGTCTTTCGGAAAAAGTCTTTTGCCCAAATGGGAGCAGCATAGTATTTCCGGAAAAGCACTGATGATCTTACATGAGATCGTCAGTGGTTTTCCGGAAATTCAAGCGGCCAGTGTAGACAGCTGGCAAGTTTTTCCGCAAAAGCAGATGATTTTGAGGAAAAACTTGCCAGTCTAGACACAGCCTACATGTATTACTCATAACTGTTGGCTGTAATCATGGAATCATAGAACACTAAGACTGGAAGGGAACTCGAGACGTCATCGAGTCCAGTCCTCTGCCTCCTGCCATGACCCAGTACCGTCTAGACCAGTGTTTCCCAATCTTTTTTTTTTTTGTAAAGTATCCCTTTTAAAAAAATATACATATAAGCAGGGCTTGATAATCTATTGAATCCACTCGCCTGTGGCGAGTAGATTTCAGCCCGGTGCCACGTTTACCGGCAGCGTGTGCATCGCAGTGCGGGGCCGGTGAATGGCTTTTGCCACGGTTTGTCAAGCCCAGGATATAATTACTCCCAGTATCTACAGTTTTCAGCCACACAACATTTTTTTCCACCATTGCAACATATTTGTTTAAACAATTTAATCATAGCCGGGCATGTGATGAAATTTTGGGGGTGTTAAAAGTACAAAAATAATAGAGCACTGTAAAACTTTTAAAAATATCAGTTTTCTCCAAATTTCAGTTGTGCTGACATATCCCCCAGGCTTCTCTTGAGTACTCCTAAGCATACTCATGCCACTGGTTGAGATACGCTGGTCTAGACCATCTCTAATGCAAAGGAACTGACAAGCCAGTATTGTGGAAGAGGAATCTTAGCTTGCGTTAGTTTGTGGATGCAACTTTGCCGAAGTGTCTACAGATCACGCTGGTTGGGAACAGTTCCTTGCGCATTTGAACATATCCAGTTCCATTCTTTATTTTGCTCTCTTCTAACATCCTCTATGATATGCCCCGTTCTGCATCTCCTCTCTAAATCGAACAGTCCCAGACTGTTCAATAAAAGTTGAGGCTTTTATTGAACAACCAACAAAATCATCCAGATTGTATCTACACTGCCCTGTAGGTCGAAATATTCTGATATTATTTCAAAATAGCTTATTTCAAAATTTCCCAATGTCTACACAGCACGTATTTTGAAATAAAGTGCTATTCCCAAAAGTCCCTCACTACTCCAGGAATGAGGTTTATAGGAACATGGGAATAGTGAACCCATTCAATTTTGAAATAATGGGCTTGCTGTTAGATTCGGAACAGCAATTTAGAGATACTCCAGTATCCCAAAATAGCGCTGCAGTGTAGATGTAGCCCTACAGACCACTTAACAGGAAAGAAAAGCTGGAATGAGGCTTTTTTGGAACTACTAACAAAATCATCCAAAGCGCAGGCTTTGGTGGTGATGGGGGACTTCAACTATCCAGACATATATTGGGAAAATAACACAGCAGAGTACAAATTATCCAACAAGCTCTTGGAATACATTGGAGACATTTTTTTTAATTTATTTCAGAAGTTGGAGATAGCTACGGAGGAGAAAAGGCTGGTTGGGAATTTAAAAGTGGGAGTCAACTTTGGGGAAAGTGAGCAGGAAACGATCAAGTTCATGATGCTAAGGAATGGTAGGAGGGAGAAGAGAAAATAAAGACAATGGATTTCAAGAAAGCAGTCTGTGGCAAATTTAGGGATTTGGAAGGTTAGGTCTCATGGGAAAGAAGTCAAAGAAGAAAACGACTACAAGACAGTTACCAGTTCTTCAAAGAAGCATTATTAAGGGTGCAAGAGCAAACTATTCCGTTCTTCAGTAATGAGACAACCTTGGTATAACCAGGAGAATTTGTTTGAACTTAAAAAAATGTGGAAAATAAATACAAGTTACAAAGTAGGGGTACGACTATACAGCACCGCATAGCTCAAAATAAGCTGAGCAATTCGAGCTACACAAATTGCATAGCTTATTTCAAGATAGTCCATTTCAAAAGTTGGTTCTGTCTACACAGTGCCAAATTTCAAAACTGAGTGCTATTCTGATGAATCTTTTAATCCTTATGGAATGAGGTTTACCGGGACATCGAAATAGCAGGCCGGTTATTTCAAATATATTTTGAAATAACCGCTTGCTGCTAAGATGTAGAAAACACTATTTCAGGATACCAGAAATACCCTGAAATAGTGCCGCTGTCTGGACATACCGTAGGAGTACAAACAAATAACATAGGTACACTGGAGCAAAATTAGAAAAGTGAAAGCACAAAAAGACTTAGTCTAGCAGAGCCATCAAAGGAAACAAGAAAACTAATGCATTCGAAGCAGAGGAAGACCAAAGGTAGGGTAAAATCAAGGAGCAAAGAGAAACAATAACAGATAATGCCAAAGTTGCCATGGTGCTTAATGATTAATGACTTCGTTGTTTACGTTTTCGTCAGGAAGGTAGGTGGCAACTAAGAGAAACCATAATGAATTCTGGGGAAAATGATGTAGGTTCAGAAGCAAAAATAGGAAAAAAATATGCTAAAGATTACTTAGCCAAATCAGAACCCTTCAAATCACCAGAGCCTGGTGGAATGCATCCTATATAATCAAGTAACAGATAGAGCAGGTATCCTGGCAGGAAACAGGAAGTTCTCTCAACATGCCGTAGTTTGTAGTCCACAACTTGTAGTACCCGTGACATGCGATGCACCTCGGGCCCTCTGTGTCGTGGCTCATGTTAGCATTGTCTCTCCATCCAGGCATTTCAACAGTGGCCATCTCCTGAGAGTGCAGGCACACAAAGGAAGTCAGGGGAATACACGGTACATGGAGGAGACACCGTTTTGACTCCCATATTGCATGTCAGAGTCCAACACAACCGACTTCACCAGCCCTTCCACCTTTATCCTGCTGGGCATCCCTGGCCTGGAGGTGGTCCATGTCTGGATCTCCATCCCATCCTGCATCATGTTTGCAATAGCTGTTTTGGGGAATATCACCATCCTGTTCATTGTGAAGAGGGAGCCGAGCCTCCATGGGCCCATGTACTATTTCCTCTGCATGCTGGCCGCCACTGACCTGGTCCTGTCCACTTCCATCCAGCCCAAAATGCTGAGCATCTTCTGGTTCAATTCCAGGGAGATCGATTTCAGTGCCTGCCTCACCCAGATGTTCTTCCTTCACAGCTTTTCAGTGATGGAGTCTGGGACCTTCGTGGCCATGGCATTGGATCGCTACGTGGCCATCTGCCATCCTTTGAGACATTCCACTATCCTGACCAAACCAGTGGTGGCAAAAATTGGCCTGGCCATACTGCTGCGTGGCTGCATCCTCATATTGCCCTTTCCCTTGCTGGCCAGGCAGTGGCCATATTGCAGAACCAACATCCTGCCCCACTCATACTGTGAGCACATCGCCGTGGTGAAGCTGGCCTGTGCTGACACCCGCCTCAGTAGTTACTACGGCCTCTTTGTGGCTCTCTATGTAATTGGGCTGGATGTGTTTTTCATCACTCTGTCCTATACCCAGATCCTCAGGGCCATCTTCAGCCTCCCCACACAGGACGCCCGGCTGAAGACCTTTGGGACCTGCGGATCCCACCTCTGTGCCATCTCAACCTTCTACATCCCATCTCTCTTCTCCTTCCTCACGCACCGCTTTGTCCACAATGTGCCTCTGCATTTCCACATTCTCATTGCCAACGTGTATCTCCTAGTACCCCCTGTGCTGAATCCCGTCATCTATGGTTTAAGGACCAAACAGACCCGGGACAGGCTATTCCAATTCTTTACTCATTAAGGCTGTGTCTACACAGCATCCTAATCTTGAAGTAAGATATGTAATTTGCGCCTCACATCTTGGCTACGTCTAGACTGGCATGATTTTCCGTAAATGCTTTTAACGGAAAAGTTTTCCGTTAAAAGCATTTTTGGAAAAGAGCATCTAGATTGGCACGGACGCTTTTCCGCAAAAGCACTTTTTGCGGAAAAGCGTCCATGGCCAATCTAGACGCGCTTTTCCGCAAAAAAGCCCCGATTGCCATTTTTGTGATGGGGCTTTTTTGTGGAAAACAAATCTGAGCTGTTTACACTGGCCCTTTCGCGCAAAAGTTTTGCACAAAAGGAACTTTTGCCCAAATGGGAGCAGCATAGTATTTCCGCAAGAACATTGACAATCTTACATGAGATTGTCAGTGCTTTTGTGGAAATTCAAGTAGCCAGTGTAGATAGCTGGCAAGTTTTTCCGGAAAAGCGGCTTATTTTCCGGAAAAACCTGCCAGTCTAGACACAGCCCTTATGTATCTTATTTTAAAATAAGTGATGTTGAAATTTGGCTCATCTGCACATCACCAAATGTCAAAATAATGCACCATTCCAAGACATAACTTAACCATCAAGGAATGAGGCCTACAGGCATGCTGAAATAGCATACCTATTATTGCAAAAAATATTTTGGGATGCCTCCCCTAAGGGAATTAAAAGTTTCTGGAGCTCAGATTTTGAGACCCAGTTCTGGGCAGAGATGGCTGATGGCATGTTATCATAGAATCATATGACCATAGACCTGGAAGAGAACTTAGAAGGCCATCAAATCCAGCCCCCTGTCCAAGGCAGAACCAATCCCCATTAAATCAACCTAGCAAGGGGTTTGTCAAGCTGAAACTTAAACACCTCTAGGGATGGAGACTCCACTACTTCCCTAGGGAACCCATTCCAGTGCTTCACCACCCTCCTAGAGAAATAGTTTTTTCTAATATCCAACCTGGACTTCTCCCACCGCAGCTTGAGACCATTGCTCCTTGTTCTGCCATCTGTCACTACTGAGAACAGCCTCTCTCCATCCTCTTTGGAACCTCCCTTCAGGAAGTTGAAGGCTGCTCTCAAATCCCCCCTCACTCCTCTCTTCTGCAGACTGAACAAACCCAACTCCCTCAGCCTCTCCTCATAGGTCATGTGCTCCAGCTCCCTAATCAATTTGGTTGTCCCCTGCTGGACCCTCTCCAAAGCATCCACATCCTTCCTATAATTGGGGGCCCAGTACTGGACACAATACCCCAGATGTGGCCTCACCAGAGCTCAGTAAAGAGGAATAATTGCATCTCTACATCGATTGGCAATGCTCCTCTTAATGTGATCTAGTATGCCATGAGCCTTCTTGGCTACATGGGCACACTGTTGACTCATGTCCAACTTCTCATCCACTGTAATCCCCAGGTCCTTTTCTGCAGAACTGTTACTTAGCCAGTTGGTCCCCAGCCTGTAACAATGCTTGGGATTCTTCCGTCCCAAGTGTCCTTTTTGAATTTCATCAGATTTCTTGTGTTTCAATTTGCCAATCTGTCTAAGTAAATCTGGACTCTATCCCTGCCCTCCAGCGTATCTACCTCTCCCCCAGCTTAGTGTCATCCTCAAACTTGCTGAGGGTGCAATCCGTCCCTTCATTCCGATCATTAATAAAGATGTTGAACAAAACTGGTCCCAGAATAGAACCTTGGGGCGCTCTGCTAGAAACCGACCGCCATCCTGACACAGTTCCCAGTAGGCCTAACCTTCCAGCCAGTTTTTTATCCATCTTACTGTCCCTTTATCCCTTAACTTGCTGTCAAGAATATTGTGGGAGACTCTTGCTGGGTCCTCTTCCCAGAATCCCTGACTGGGCACTCAAAGCATGTATCTACGCTGCAGCTCTTTTCCAGGATACTGGGGAAAAAATTCAGAAAAGTGGATGCACTCCTTCACCATCCCTGTAAAACTTGTTATAGGAGGAAGAAGGGACGTGTTGAAAGAGGAGGTTTTTCCAAAATTTGGCACAGGGTAGATATGCCAAATTTTGAAAAATCTTCTTTCAAAAGAAAAGCAGTTCGCAATTTGCGTATCTGCTCCCAACTTTTCTTTGGAGTGTAGACGTAGCAAAAGAGGCATTAGATACTTTCCTGATCTCCCTCGGCTGTGTCCAGATGTCCAACCAGGGAATCAGTCTGTGATAAGGTTACCACCCTTGTAATTGATCGTAGTTGGACCTCTGAGAAGCTTCCACCTATCCAACCTCTTCCTCCTGCCCTACCTCTGCCTGGCCTAGTCTATCAAGGCCCAGTCCCCTTAACGATCTGTTCCCCCATGTTCCTGCCCCATCACACACTCCTCTCCTCTCCTCTCCTCCCCCCATCATTGTTTGGATTGTCTTCATCTCCCTTCCTGCCTCAGCTGGATCCCTTTGTTTAGGTCTGTTGATAGGAGGAGGCACCAACTGAAAATGGGCCACTCCTGATGGATGTCCTGACTCCTCCTCCTGCCCTACAGTACCTGGGTCCTCCCCGGTCTCCCTTTCAACCACAATTTCCCGATGAAAACCCAGCTCCTGGCAACCCTACTTGGCTTCCTGACCCAGACGGCAAGAAACGGAGCCTGTGGGTGAAACACGGATGGCGTCACTGGTACTGGGGATGGGAGTGGCAGAGCTGCAGTGAAGCTGGCCTGTGCTGACACCCGCCTCAGTAGTTACTATGGCCTCTTTGTGGCTTTCTGTGTGATAGGGCTGGATGTGTTTTTCATCACTCTGTCCTATACCCAGATCCTCAGGGCCATCTTCAGCCTCCCCACACAGGACGCCCGGCTGAAGACCTTTGGGACCTGCGGATCCCACCTCTGTGCCATCTCAACCTTCTACATCCCATCTCTCTTCTCCTTCCTCACGCACCGCTTTGTCCACAATGTGCCTCTGCATTTCCACATTCTCATTGCCAACGTGTATCTCCTAGTACCCCCTGTGCTGAACCCCGTCATTTATGGCTTAACGACCAAACAGACCCGGGACAGGCTACTCCAGTTTTCACTAGTAAAGGAACTTAACGATTTTTTTTCTGGTGCTCTGGCATTGAGACCCAATTGCAATCAGAGCTGGCTGAGGACATGTTGCTGGGCCTACTTCATAGAATCACTTCACTTTATTCATTAAAGTAATTAATGATGCTCTGGCTTTCAGACCCAGGTCTGTGCAGAGCTGGCTGTTTACATGGGCAGAGTTTGGTCCTTGAATTACTACCTGGGCGAAGAGACATTAAACCATTTCCTGATTTTACACTACAAAGTGTAATTAAAAAGACTGGGACCTTTCAGCTTAGAAAAGAGGAGACTAAGGGGGGATATGATAGAGGTGTATAACATCATGAGTGGTGTGGAGAAAGTGAATAAGGAAAAGTTAGTTACTTTTCTCATAACACATGAACTAGGGATAGAAATGTAGCCGTGTTAGTCTGGTGTCGCTGAAACAAAAAACAGGACTGTGTAGCACTTTAAAGACTAACAAGATGGTTTATTAGATGATGAGCTTTCGTGGTTCAGACCCACTTCCTCAGATCAAATAGTGGAAGAAAGTAGTCACAACCATATATACCAAAGGATACAATTAAAAAAAATAAACACATATGAAAAGGACAAATCAAATTTCAGAACAGAAAGGGGATGGAGGGGGGGAGGGGTCAACAAATTAAATTAATAGGTGGCTGGTTTAAAACAAACAAAAGGAAGGTTTTTTTTCTCATGCAATGCACAGTCAACCTGCGGAACTCCTTGCCAGACGATGTTATGAAGACCATGGCTTGAACAGGGTTCAGAAAAGAATGAAATAAATGTGTGGAGGTTACGTCAATATTTATTAACCAAGATGGTTACAAATGGTGTCCCGAGCCTCTGTTTGTCAGAAGTGGATAATGGGCAACAGGAGAGGGATGACTTGATTCCCTATTGTGTTCCCTCCCCCGTGGCACCTGGCACTGGCCACTGTTGGAAGACAGGACAGCGGGCTAGATGACCCAGTCTGACCCAGTCTGGCTGTTCTTATGTTCTTATATCAGGATTCCAAAGTGGGGAATTCGTCTACATGAGAAATCAAGAACTGGACATAGATAAGACAAGCTGGAATGCCAGCACGCGTCGGTGAAACACTGCAAAAGAGCTTAGTTGGTCTATTATAGGCCTTGGAGACACGAACTGGCTGAGAAATCACTCACGGTGATGTAAAAGTCATCAAACTTGTTTTAAAATCACAACTATCCCTGTGTGTGCTGCCCTCAATGATTCCCACAATCTCATCACATTTTGCCTTCCAATGGAGTCATTTTGCCCTGTGTCAGCCCATGTGTGTTTCCTCTGATTCCTTTCCCTAGTGAGCGGGCGCAGTGGTGGACAGATTCCCAAACTCAGTGTTAGCACACGCAGAACGGAGCCAGCCAGAGAATTCCCACGTCCACCATCTGCTGCTAAATGCCCGGCTCCCCGAATCCTGCAGCTAATTCTGCCGTCACGTCTCACGGCGTGGGTGCGCACCGCACCTGGTCATGACAAGTGCAGGTTTCGCAGCCATTTGGCAGCCTCTCAAAAGCTGGGGCAGAGGAATCTGTTTTGTCTCATTCCTGTATTTAAAACGCAGCACCGGGGAAATCCCCCGATGAGCTGGGAGGCAGGCCGGGAGTCCAGCCCTGGGGATCCAAGTGCCCTCCAGATGGGGCAGGGCTGGAAAGTCTGACTCAGCCTGGCACATCCGATTCCAGTTCCCCTGGGAGACACGGGGAGGGAACGAACAAACCCAACGTCAACACCAGTCCAGCCTCTGTCCTGCCCTTCAGGCCCCCTTGTCCCACAGCAGTGTTCAGGGGAGGGGGAGGCCTCTGTCCCCAGGACAGGCCTCAGTTTCCCTCTGATCAACATTCTGTGGGAGCTTCTTTTTTTCTCTCTACTCAACGTTCTGTGGGAGCTGCTTTTAGTGAGTCTCTTCCCCCAGAGCCGCCCCAGGGCCTGTGC